TTATTGCCAGCGCTGAAAATGCTACAATTTACGTTATGTGCATTCTAGATTTTTAATACAAGCAGTCAATTTTGAAATAAAGCCTCGATTAAGGATGCTGTGTAAATATAGTCACTAGCTCCTATTGTTGATTGGATAACTTCCCAAAGAGAAAATAATAGTAACTTTAATCGTATACAAACTTACCTTTTTAAAACAAGGTAAAAAGGTACTAAGAGTGCGTGCTTCTCATAAAGAACTATTTGGGCCGGTTTCACCAACGCCAATTATGTAATCGGCTGTGGAACTGACTAATCGCATTTGCCATTTAGTAGAATTGACCACTTATGGTTCACAATTAATCACCGATTCGGCTTAATCGAGTTGATGAAACCGGTCCTTTGTATGATATCGACAATTGGCGCCAAGTTAAATTCTGTTAATTCATTATTAATTTCTTATTGTACAGTAAAGAATATGCAAAAGTATGCAGATGACCATCGTTTTGGTATTCATTTTGGAATTTTTATATTACAATTATAAGATGATGGGGGTGGTGATGGGATTTTTTAAATATCTAGATGGTAAGATTTACAATTATTCTAGGTTAAGACCATGTTACGCATGTTGCAAAAATGTATAAACTGTTTATAAGAAGACATTTGCTATTACCAAATGTGTGATATCAGTACAAACTTATCTTTTTAAAAAAGGTAAAAGAGGCGCTAAGAATATACGTGTTTCTCAAATAAAACCTAAGTCTCCAACCCAATTAATAGTAGTTTTAATTCTTCTTCAAGAATATTCTTACCAAGTGATACTATCTTTGTTATTTACTGAACTCTAATGATACGTATCATTTGTATAAAAAAGATCAGTACAAACTTCGATGCGATCAGTGCGAACATTTGGGACTCTCTAGTTTTCTCTCTCGCACAGATGTTGGCTTCATGTCTGATATATGGGTGGCATAGGCAATTCCTCTTCCAGTAATATATGTTCTAAGGTTCCATCTCATTCTCTCCTCTTCCCCTCCTGCCAAGGGACGTCCGACTTTCCACGCTAAGCAAGATCCACCTTACTTCCCTTTGTCTCAAGCAAGGAAGGGTAGATAAGGATAATTTTTAGTATTGTATAATATTGAGGGAATATATAATAATAATTAGGGAAAAAATCTTTTTACATATAGCCAACAGATGGAGATTTGGTCGTACCACTATTATGTGACATATAGGTTATTTGTCGTTGGAAAGGTTCTATTTCACATTTTGAAATAGATTGATCACAGATTTGAACGATACTGACACATTCAATCAAATTTGAAAATGAGTGAAAATTAGGAACATTTCTGACACATTTTACTTTTTTATTATAAAAAAGGAAAGCACGCTGCGCAAGCCGTAGAAAAAATTTGTAGTGTTATGGAGAGGATGCTCTAACTAGACAAACAGCAGCGAATTGGTTTCGCCGATTTCGAGATGGAAATTTCGATGTCAAAGATGCACATCGTTCTAGTCGTCCTACGGTGGAAAATGTCGATGAAATCTTACAAAAATTGAAGAAAATCGTCATGTGAGCAGCTATGACATAGCTAAGGAGCTAAATATTGATCGTAAAACCGGCACTTGCGTGAGGCTAGATATACAAAGAAGCTCGATGTTTGGGTGCTATTTGATTTAACGATAAAAAATTTAATGGATCGAATTTCCATTTGCGAATCGCTGCTGAAACGAAACGAAATTAAACCTTTTCTGAAAAGATTGATAACGAGCGAAAAATTGATAACATGTGATAATAATATTCGAAAGAAATCGAAATGAGGTGAGGCACCACAAACAATCGCAAAGTCCAGATTGACGCCAAAGAAAGTGATGCTGTGTCTAGTGGAAAGGAGTCGTCCATGAACTGCTGCCGCCAGGCAAAACGATTGATTCTGATCTCTACTATCAACAATTAATGCGATTGAAGTAATCCATTCAGGAAAAGCGGCCAGAATGGATCAATAGAAAAGGCGTTGCGTTCCATTATGACAACGCTAGACCACACACGTCTTTGATAACTCGACAAAAATTGAGAGAGCTTGGCTGGAAAGTTTTGATGCATTTCACCGTATAATCCTGACTTTGCAGAACTCCGTTCAATTACCATTTGTTTCGGTCTTTGCAGAACTCCCTTAATGGAGTAAACTTGACTTTAAGAGAAGTCTGCGAAAATTATTTATTTCGGTTTTTTTACTGAGAAATCATAGAGTGATTCTACACAAGTTCTACACCGATGCGATGGAATAATGCTTCTACCCAAAAAATGGTAAAATATCGATCAAAACGGCACATATTTGATTTAATAAAAGATTAGTAAACAATTTAAAAAATATGTTTCAATTATGCTCCAACTTGTAAAAAGACTTTTTCCCTAACCCAATATATATATATATAACAGAAATGAGACGTTATTTTTTCAAACTTTTTTGTTAATAACTTTTTCATGGTCATTGGATGGTGGTCCCTTATATTGTATAATTACCATCGTACGCCCTTATGGAACTCACTTCGCGTGGAAAATCGAGCGCTATGAAGAGGACCTCGCGGGGACCTCGCTTCGCTTAAAAAGTCGGTCGCCCCTCCTAGGCAGAGGAATGATGGAATAGATCTCGCTTTGGAAAGTCAAAAAACTGGAAAATCGAAAATCCATGTCGTCCCCTACATATTATAGAACTTCAATTTGTTATATCTCCTAAACCAATGCCGTCCCTCACTTAATTCTTGTGAAGAATCACTCAGGACATTATCCCCTATATCCAATATATCTAAAGGATAATTCAAATCAGTGAGGCGTAACCTGAAATGCATATTCATAATGCCTAGTTTTAAAATATTATGAGTTTAACAAAAATTTTGTTTAACAGATTGTTCTATTATTATGTTTAAATATCTATGTGAAGTTTGGGTACAAATCTGTAATTGGTTTAAAAGTTGTTTGAGTTTTTTGTATGTCTTGACTTCTATGTAAAATCACGTTTTACAATACTTATTTACACTTATATAAGCATGTAATATTAAGAATTAAATCAAATTTTATATATGTACCAATAAAACATAAATATTTGTGCAAAATTTTATTTGAATTTGTATTCACTTGATGGTTTAGAAATTATTAACCGAAAATTGTAGCAAAATATGGCCATTTTTTTGCATGAATCTTTATAAGTTAAATTATTTTCTGTTGTTTTTTGCAGTTGGTTTTAGGACGTATTTATAGGATAATATCAAAATTTTTTGAATATTGGCTGATATTAGCTATTTTCGACTGATTATTTGACTGATACTTTTAGCCGATATTGTATAGATAAAACATCCTTAAATTAACACAATGTCCTCAAACCTTTCCACTGTTTGTGTACACGCATATACATGTGTATATATGTATATATAGGTATATATATATGTGTGTGTGTGTTTGTGTGTATGTGTGCGCGTGCGTGCGCGCAGTGTCCAATTTTACTTTGACACCGAAATATCTCGAAAATTATAAAAGATACGGAAAAATATTTTAGACAAAAGTTATAGGATTTGAAAATACCTATTTACTAATCATATCCGTTTGACATTTGGTGGCATTGCTAAGATCAGGATCAAGGTTACTTCGAATTTTTAAAATTGAACTCCCTAGATTTTATTGCATATTTTTATAGCTCTTCCTGAGATCTTTCCAAAACACTATAATTTAATTCACTTTGGTTCAGCCGTTTTGAAATTATCGAGATTTATAAGTAAGATGTCCAGCCAACGAAGATTAATGGTTGATCCAGCTAATGAAGGCAAGATCGAATGATGACCCTAAACTCCTAGCAATTTTAGGCACGGTTCATTTCAATCCACCCGTTGGTACTCGATAAAAAAAACATGAATTAGGAATCCCTATCCACGGCTCCTTGAATGTTACAATCCGTATAATATCACATCGATTTGGTATAGGAATTGAGCGAAGATGATTGCAGAATGAGATCAGTAAATTAGATGGTAAAATATGGCATAGTATTTTTAATTGACTACAGCAGCCAATTTTTGGTTGCATTAGCCTATCCGCAATGTCAGTATAGGATTTCGATAGACTAACACAACCAAAAATTGGCTATTGCAACCAATTAAAAATGCTATGCCATATTTGACCGTCTAATTTGCTGCAGCAGCCAATCTTTTTTTCAGTGTAGAAATTAAATATTTATGACGGTCGAAGCTGGATCTTTAATGCTTAAATAATTCAATGTGAATTATATATATGTACATGCATATATATCATATTCATAGTCATTCGAACTGCGCGCTAAATTGGTTTTCCGGACTTATAAACGCAATTAAACTATTGTAACAATATCACGAATTAAATTAAATTGACAAGCAATTTTTAATAATATGTAATTTGATGTTCAATCATGCATCATATTAGAAAGATGTTAATGTGCTGAAAAACTGTAAATAAATTTATTGCGAAAAATATTACCTTGGCCGGGAGTCAAATCCGGATCTCTTGTATTCTGTACGAGCGTCCTAAATTAATGGTACCTTTTTATGTTCCCATCCGAACCATACAACTTTTGTTTGAAACATTTTTCCGTATCTGCCACAGTTTTCGAGAAATCTTAATGCATTGTTTAAAATGGGACACCCTGTATAATTCACATTGAATTATTTAAGCATTAAAGATCCAGCTTGAATCGTTATTTAATTTCTAGTAATGAAAAATAACTTTATTACAATGTTTTGAAAAGCTCTTGACATTAGCTATTAGATTCTGGAATAAAAATAGGGTGTCTAATTTAAAAAAAATCGATGTGACTTTGACCTGACATTGATGACTCAAGATCAATCATTAAATAGATCTTTTAAAACCCTACAATTTTTGTCTAAAACATTTTTCTCAAAAATGCGTACTTTCCGAGATATTCAGCCTGCCCGGGACTTTTGGCGGGCACTGTATATGTACATTGCCGCTAAAGGATAACAGTTGTCATGAAATTCCAGGTACGTGAACGTTTGCGCGTGGCCCTCGAAAGAAATACAAGTCTCGAGGAGGAACTAGCCCATACCAAAGAGGAAGTGAGTTGTATTGAACTTTGTTAATTGAAGTATGAAAATATTGTAAATATTTCCTTAATAAAAGATGTCTGTTATCTGAAAATATTAAGAAAACCTAGAATTCTTAGAGAATTTTTTTTTGCTTGAAGAAGTTAGAAAATTTGTAAAGAAATTTTCTATATAAATATATAGATATTATTTTACCTTTTATATTCTTTCATTTTTACTTGGGATACAAGGAGTATACCCACGGGTATAGGGTTTCTGTCTTAGAGAATCTCTGATAAATTCATTTAGAGTATAATGAAATTTATCGCCCAATATCAAATTCCACTTTCTTATCGGTAAGGAAAGTTGAAAAAGTCATGTTTGAAGTTTTACGTAATGACGACGCGGTGTCGAGACAGGCAGAGAGCGAGCGAGACAGTGAGAGTGGAGGGGGAAAGCCGCTGACGTGCCCGGGGTCGAGTAGTAATAGTCAAGATTGGTCGGAAGTAAAACTTCAAAAATGATTTTTTAACTTTCCTTGTCGATAAGAAGGTGGAATTTGGTATTGGGTGATAGATTTCATCATACTCTAAATGAGTTTATAGGTTTCAGGGATTCCATCTCTAGGGCAGAAACCTTCCTATACCGTAGGCATTCACCTTCCATTCTTACTTTCTAAAAGTAAACCAACAAAAAATGTCAGTAGTATAAACAGTAAAATATAATTTCATTAATAATCTAGGAGTATTTAATTAAAAAAAATAATATAGGAGTATTTCACTGGAGATTCAGTATAAACAATCACGCTTTGCTTTTCCATCTTATATCTCATTGATTACACAGGTCTACAAAAAAGGGGGTCTTGGATGTTGTCGGGAAGCTGTGGGTCATTTCCGAAGTAATTTTCTGCGTAGAATCCGAATCTGAAACCAGAATTGGCCCATCACGTCAGGATTTTGAGATATTAGGGGATATATACTCGAAAAATGCGTTTTTATGCTACTTTAGAGGTTATGTACAGGACGCAACCAATTTTTTGGGTCTTTTGTGCTATTTGCATCATTTAGTAATATTCTTACCCTTCAAAATGAGATATTGATCGACTACCTACGATTTTTTTTCGCCAAGTTACGGGCATTTTAACCCACTTGCGTAACCGTTTTTCCCGTCTTTTTCGTTCCTGTTCTTAACAAACGTGAAACGACCACAAATATAACAAAAACTGTTAGGATCATTTAAACACTTACGCGGGGCCATTGTTAAGACAGCAAACAGTCACAATTGTGACTGTTTATATATTAGGACCTTGAATAACGGACAGCGCGTCTTGTGCGCTGCGGCTCTGAGTGCAAGGCGTCTACCAACTTTAAACAAATCATTAGTTTTAAACTTATTAATGCAATGAAAATGAAACTTTCCAGAACATTTGTTCATATCCGAATGAACAACTTTCTCGCTGAAAGTTTTAGGATGCTCGAAATTCGCTCGATAAACGAAGCACCTGAATGCATAAAAAAGGATATTTTGCAGGTGTGTATAAAAAAAATAATAAGTTGTTTGTTTATTGACAAATATCGGTTTTTCTTTCTTCACTAGACGTGGAAAACTCTAATGATCATAACTTCGAAAATAGCAAAAAAACGCATTTTTCGAGTATATATCCTCAAATATCTCAAAATCCTGACGTGATAGGCCAATTCTGATTTCAGATTCGGATTCTACGCAGAAAATTACGTCGGAAATGACCCACAGCTTCCCAACAACAAAACCTTGTTGACCTGTGTTATGGTAGTGAAAATAAAATTTAACTGTGAAATCAGTAATTTATAAAATAACAATTGTATAATTGATATAATTTATAATTAAATTATAGTATACATTATTATATTAAACCAGGACTCGGCACGATTTACACTTCTCGGCCGATTTTCGACTCGGCTCCGTCTTCTACTACTCTTTTCACCTCATCACCTCGTGCGCAGTCCAAATGCCGCTCGACATTTAGAAGCGTATAATATAAGATAGAATGAAGATAGAGTGAAACGTAAGATAGAATGAAGCAAACCGTAAGCGCTTGTCTTAGTTATGTAATGAATGAAAAAAAAAATAGAATAAAGTTTACAGCGCCCAAAGCGGGTGGACCTCATGTCTACGAGCGTCATACGCTCCTAAACGTCGAGCGGTATTTGGATTGCGCGCGGGATGATGAGGTGAGAAGAGTAACGGAAGACGGGGCCGAGTCGAAAATCGGCCGAGAAGTGCAAATCGTGCCGAGCCCTGTATTAAACTGATATTTAAAAAATGAGATAATAAAAGGAAGATGTTAAAAAGTGGCCGATTTCTGCCCAAAAAGGTGTAAGTAAACGGAATAGTGGTTTTTTTTATCGATTTGACCTCTTGAATACGATAATGTTAATAAAAAGTTCGGGATCGGTAGGGAACGCCTTGAAAATTGAACATGAATATATAGTATTTAAAGAAATTTCAATATTCTTGTTTACTTTTCAAAGTGTTCCCCGAATGTCACAAACTTTTTAATAATTTATCATGTTCAGGAGATCAAAATCTATATAAAATACTATTTCTTTCACTTATATTATTTGGGACAAAAGTCGGACGTTTTTTAATATCCTTCAAAAAGGGCAGATTTTTGCCCAAGATGTATTATAAATAAAAGAAATAGTGTTTTTTGTTGATTTTAACCTCGTGAATATGATAAAATTATTAAAAAGTTCGTGGCATGTGGGGAACACCTTGAAAAGTAAACAAGAATATTAAAATTTCTTTAAATATATCATGTTGTAACGTGACGAATTAATTTATTGGTAGATGAGATTACATCAAAGTTAATTCAAAAGTTCATGTGCTTTCGCTAAATCGTGATTACATAAATTAGTTGTCTTATAAGTCTTAATAAGTCTAATTTTCGTATATATAACTAATCATTACAATATCTTCGAAATTAAGAGTTAGATTTTTCCTCGCAGAGGATTTGTCGTTTATAAGATTCTGACGTTATTCGCTCGAAATCGTACAAACTCTTTCACGATCAATCGCTTACATTTTTGATATCTTAACGGCTCGATCAACCGAAACTCTAATGCCCGATTCAGTGGGCCTACTTATCTGATCGACTAGAAGAATGAGTGACGACGGTCGCACAGCGATGCTGGCTCCCTTTTGGACGTGAGCCTCCTCGAATGATCCTTTGTCTGCTCCAATCAGAGATCTATCTCCTCAGGTTGAAGTCACTCCCGGATGCCCTTATTCCGAAACCAAAGGTCTCGCTCCGTTAACTTTTACTGGGCTATCGTTACTCCGGGATGTATTGTGCTGTGGTCCAATAAATCTGTGTTGTGACTGTAGTCGCAACTGGTGGCACAACTTTGTTGCGTTTTAAATAAAAATTATAACTTTATTATAAATATTAAAAAATTATAACTTTAATAAGTACTATAAATAATAAGTACTGTATTTCTTACATAATAAATAAATAAATAAATAATTGATTGCGCGATATCATCTGAAAATAAAGACAAATGTAAATAGTAATATGCTTTGCGTGCAGTTATAATAGTTGCGAGCGTTCTATTATTCCAAATATTGCACAATTACGTGATAGTTAAATAGTATTATTAAACTTAAAGAATAATTTACTGATCAAGCGAATACATTTGTAACAGTGATTAAAAATAAAATAAAATATTTGATTATACTCTCAATATTTTGTAGATAATTGTTTTAAAAATAAATAAAGAATTTGTAAAAGAATCTGTGAAACACTGTTTCTAAGATGTTATCGCGCGCACACGCACGCACGCACATCGTTAACATCTTAGAAACAGTTTCACAGATTCTTTTACAAATTCTTTATTTTCAGATGATATTGTGCAATCAATTATTTATTTATTTATTACGTAAGAAATACAGTCAGTACTTATTATTTTATTAACTTTTCATTATTTAAACAACACAATACGGAAGAAAGCCAAATGCCGGTATTGTTCACAGTTGAGTCTTATTATTTAAGATTATCTTAAGTACAGTATTAAGATGTCATAAACTAATCATAACTGAGTCATACAAACGTCTTGAAAGATATTACTTATTAATACTAGTCACGGACTAGATACACGCCAGTGAGGCGCGCGCACCTGCCCTGAGCGCCACATAGATCAGAGCGCTTATTCATTAACTTTAACACGCTCTCTTGCAAAAACTACTTGTCGCACGCAATTTTGCTGAAGGAAAAAGTTGTTTACTTTAGCATAAAGTATCACGTTTTGTACTCCGAATTCGCGAATTCGGAGCACACTCTGTATATTACCTTCTTTTTCATCAATCTTCAACCAAAATTCAAAAAGCCCTTTATTTTCACCTTTCCATAATCCTGAACTTTTTGCCATTTAAAACTTCTTAAGCGTTATTTTAGATAATCATTGTTCAAAGAAATGAAGGAAAGCTTATTGACTAATGTTGATTATTGAATTTTCTTGTTTATTTTGTACCGGCTTTTTTCTTTTATATAGAACATTAAAGTTGACTTCATTAGGCGAGAAAATGGAAGTAATCCACATGTTCTAAATCCATTTTTAATCATTATAGAAAGATCCATTGAATTAAGAGTATTTTTTATTAATGGAGCGAATGACTCTTTCCTTAGACGTTCTCCACTATTTCTCAATCTCTAATTATTGACTGTATTTTTTCACGCAGTGGAAAATCCTTTTTAAGGGATGAAATATTGCAACATCCAATGGTTGTAAAATATGTGTAGAATTTGGATGGAGAGCAATCAACTCATCTGCTTTTCGCGACAGAAATTGCTCAATGGTAATGTCAAATGGGATGAATGACCATCTACGAACAATACAACAGCGAAAACAATTTCATTCTTCTTGAGCCATGGATAGAAAATGTTACAGATGTACTCATAAAAGATTTCAATTGTCATCTAACCATTATCAGATGTTCTTACACACCATTCTTTCGGAACATTTTGCGTTATACTACTTAGGCAATACCTAGGCATT